TCCCATTTGCTTTTCCTAAGCTTTTTTGGTCCCTCTTACTTTGATTTAAGATTGGGTTTCACGGTTAAGAAATGATTATATACTTGTACCAATTTAAATTGTTCGAATAATATCCAACATGTATATATTAAGATAAAGCAAAGAGTCTTGCATAATATTATGTAGATAGAACCGTTTAATTAAGATTTAAAATCAATATGTATTTTATATGTACATCAAATGCTTGTATTTCGCATCACATAATGTAAAAAATTCATTACAGTGACAATTACAAAACATATGACTTATGTTATTGTTTATTTAGTGTAAATGGTGAGATGTACGATGTTTGATAGCTAATATGAATCGAACGTGGTGTAGTTTGTACTATGGGTGGCAATTCCATCGTTATTGGAAAAAGGGTCGGTAACCCTAGTAATGACGGTGTTCTTGATCATCTTCCTCTTCCAATACCTTCCGAAGATCTACCACTCCGTCAGCCTCTTACGGCGCATGCAGAACCTCTCCGGCTACATCTTTGGAACCGTTTGGTGGGGCATTGCTCTCAACATGATTGCTTATTTCGTGGCCTCACATGTAAGTTTCCATTTCACCCTTCCATTAAATCTTCATTACAGTGCTAATTACCTTCACATCTTTACAACAGTAAAAATTATCAGCTTTTTTCCTTTTGAAAAGTCACCGTCCTTTTTGGCTTTTCTAACTTCATGATACTTTGTTTCTTTGCTATTAGACAAAAGGATATTGAAATAAAGGCGTTTCCCAAAGGCGAAAAGTGAAAAGCTACGGCACTTAAACTTTTTAATCTCCTATTCGTTACTTCGTGATTCATGTGGGAGGTAAATATAGTTTAAATAAGTAAAAATAATACCATGTGAACCATCTGAAAGCTTGTTAAGAACTAGATATTGTGGGAAACCATACATTAGATTCCAAAAAGATTGGAATAAAAATTAATAATTAATTAAGAAACTTATTAAAATATTTCAGAGGGTCCAAGGGTCTATAACTCAATAATTTAATGTGATTTCCAAGTGATTGTCCTTTTCTGAGATTATTGTTTAGAAGTAAGTACTTTTGAGTGGGGAAATGCCTAAGTAATTGCTTCATGGGATTTTTTGTCTCTGAATCAGGCTGCCGGGGCATGCTGGTACTTGCTAGGGATTCAGAGGTCTGCAAAGTGCATGAAAGAGCAATGCAGGGTAGTAGAGGGTTGTGACCCGAGACTGTTGGCCTGCAAAGAGCCAATTTACTATGGAACAAGTAAAATGGTGAGGGATAGAGCCAGGCTGGCTTGGGCAGAGAACAAGCAAGCAAGAAGTACATGCATAGATAGTCCTGATAACTATGATTATGGAGCTTATAAATGGACTGTCCAGCTTGTAACAAATGATAGCCGCCTTGAGAAGATTCTTTTTCCCATCTTCTGGGGCCTCATGACTCTCAGGTTCAGGATCTCATGATCTCCCCAATGTTAACTAGAAAAATTTTTTATTACATAATTTTCTCTTAATTTATACCAACTATTGTGTGTCCATGAACAGCACTTTTGGGAACTTGGAGAGCACCACAGAGTGGTTAGAGGTTGTGTTCAACATCATTGTTCTCACCAGTGGACTTCTTCTAGTCACAATGTTGATTGGAAACATCAAGGTATAAAATGGATAATACTCTTATTTTCTATATTTATTGACTCAAAACCAATACACAAGTCAATTCTAAAGACAAATGATTCTTAAATCTCATTCTCATGATACATTTCATGAACTTCACTCGTTAAAAAATTATGGTTGAAATTAAAAAAAAAAACCCCTAATCGATGTTCGGTTTGTACTTGTAATCATCCTATTAGTTAAAAACCACAGCTTAATAAGATGATAATATCAGCAATGTACAGTGTTTACTTATAGGGCAGCAACAGAAATCTTGATGGTGATGATAACGAAGTAGATGGCAAGCCTTCAGAAGATGTTGGTTTTGACCAAAGCATACCACCAAAGGGTCCCCATAGGTCAGGTGGGAACCCATAAAGGATTCTGTGTCCTTGTGATATTGAACAAATCATTGATTATATCATGTACCAGACATACATAGGCCAATTTGTTTACATATTAAAAAAAAAGAAAGTCTGACTTTCTGTCACTAGGCCACATTCATAGTAGACCCACACCATTTTGCCTATAACTGGTTTTCACCTTTTTCTTTATGAGTAGTAATTAAAAAGATAAGAAATTAGAAAGATTGTTGTAACATGTGTGCTTTGTTTCATTTATTTCTTTATTTATTCTGTGTATGGCTTCTCTTTGAAGGTGTTTCTGCATGCAACTACGTCAAAGAAACAAGCAATGCAGCTGAAGATGAGGAATATAGAGTGGTGGATGAGGAAGAGGCACCTGCCTTCAGGGTTCCGGCATAGGGTCCGGAACTACGAGCGACAACGGTGGGCGGCGATGCGCGGAGTCGATGAGTGTGAGATGATCAGGAACCTCCCTGAGGGGCTGAGGAGAGATATCAAGTACCATCTCTGCCTGGATTTAGTTAGACAGGTAACAGTACCCATCAGAGTATACACAAATTTTGAGCTTCAACGGTTTCAAAAAATAGAGTAACATAATTCAAGAATTGAATGATGAACTATTAATAATTAGGAGGAAGACCAAAATAAAATAAAGACAATTATATATCCCTACATGTGGAACTTCAAACTTTTGCACATAATTCCATGTTTTGATGGGCCTACATGGAATCAGATTATGGGAGAGCAGTCTAAGCTTTGGGAACTGACACAGAGGTACATTTAATTAATTAGTTGAGCCATAAACCAAAGTGGGCATCATGATTTATGAATCTTTAAGAAACAGGACCCAGTTTTTACAATAAAAGTTTGGGAATTATTTAAAAAATTTTAAATAAATTTTTATTTTTTATTATATTTAATTAAAATTTTATATTTTTATTTTATATCAAATAAATTTTTATGATTAATGATTAATTAATTATCATTAGTTAAAATAACTTCTATTATTTTATGCAAACGTGACATTAATTTTGGAGAGTAAGATTATCATATAAAATCATCATGTTATATTACTATTTACTATAACATGTTAATATTATGTAAGTGTAAAATGATAAATGTTATTTTTAATTAATGATAATTAATTAACAATTGATTTTAGGAGTTTAATTCAAAATTAAAATGTAAAAATTTGATTAAACGTAATAAAAAATAAAAATTTATTTAAATTTTCATAAATAGTTTAGAAACTTTTTTTAGTATTATATTTAAAATAAAATAATACGGTCCTATTGAAGAAAAAAGTGAAAAAGAAAAAGTGCTCCTACCGCAGAGTCAAACACTGGGCTAGAGGCCCATAACCCACCAAATCTACCAAAATGTTGCCGACCCAATAGATATAGGCTTGGATTAGGTGGACTGAACCAGCAATCCCAGCTCCGAGTTCTGAGCCTCATTTCCAGCCTAAGCCTGTTTAAATATTTTCATATATGAGAGAGTTTGGAAATTGAATTTTCTAATAATTCCAAGTTTGTTTCAGGTACCATTGTTCCAACACATGGACGATTTGGTTCTAGAGAATATCTGTGACAGAGTCAAGTCTCTAATCTTCACCAAAGGAGAAACTGTAAGTATATAAAAAGTTTGATCCTTGAGATTTGAGTAATGAAGTCATTGACTCATTGAGATTAATCAATGTAGATCACCAGAGAAGGTGACCCTGTACAAAGAATGCTGTTTGTAGTAAGGGGACATCTCCAAAGCAGCCAAGTTCTCAGAGATGGTGTGAAAAGTTGCTGCATGCTTGGCCCTGGAAATTTCAGTGGCGACGAGCTCTTGTCATGGTGTCTGCGCAGACCCTTCATCGAGAGACTCCCACCCTCTTCTTCAACACTCGTAACTCTTGAAACTACCGAGGCATTTGGCCTGGAAGCTGAGGATGTTAAGTATGTTACACAACATTTTCGATACACGTTTGTTAATGAAAGAGTGAAGAGAAGTGCAAGGTATTACTCTCCAGGGTGGAGGACTTGGGCGGCTGTGGCAATTCAGTTGGCCTGGAGGAGGTATAGGCACCGGTTAACGCTTACTTCACTGTCGTTCATTAGGCCTCGGAGGCCTTTGTCCAGGAGTAATTCACTTGGGGAGGACAGGCTTAGGCTTTATACTGCTATGTTGACTTCACCAAAGCCGAATCAAGATGATTTTGACTTTTGAAAAGAGTGAAAGTGCAGCTATATTTTGTTCCAACGTTATAGATTTGCACATGTTCTGATACCATTTCTAACGATCTGGTTTACTACAAGAGAGTCCTGTTTGTTTTGACTTGGCCCCCCGGTGTATCTACATCTATATCAATATATATTTAATCTTTCATGTAAAAAGACTAGGATATTGTAAAGGCAACAGGTTTTCAAGGAAGTTTTGGAGGATCAGAACCAGTTTTCTGATCCTGCCATGTCACTTACATTGTAAAAATTTTTAAACATTGCTCTTGTTATTGCATATCATCCTGAAAACATTTCAAGGAAAGCACATTTAACAAAGAAAATTAGAACTAAAGATTCATAGAGCAGTCCAGGAAAAATGCTGATCCCCGATTGCAGCATTCATATTACCTAGCTGACACTAGCAGGGTTGCTCCACCTTGCATTTACTTTTTGGAAATATATTCTATGGTTTATAAAATTTTGACCTGGAAGCATTATCTTGTCCACATTTAAAGATGCAATTTTCTTTGTAGGATAAAATGGATATGATTCACTGCTGTATACAGCCAAAATTTTGTTCAACTCCAAGGCAAAAAAATATTTCTGCATATCCTTCATCGCTAGAAGTTTATCCTTGTATTTGCGTGGCTTCCCGAAGTTGTTTTATGCATGAAGCTTCATGATTCATTTTCTCCAAGATTAGTCTATATCAAATTCACACCTGATGCCTGGAATACCAAACATTTCTTACAGAATTGGTTAGGCTATAGCCTAAACATGGATTTCTTGGCCCGGAATTTATGTTTGATTTCTCCATAAAGTATGAAGACGAATAAATGTTTGTAATCATCTACCTAACAGTACCTGATTCGGACAAACTTCTGATGCACAATCCTTTGCCATTAACGGCAAGTAGAAGGGAAAAACATGGATTGCTGAAGTTGAAACTCTTCCTTGTTTGCTTCTTTTCATTTTTATAAATAATAATTTCGGGACTACACAACTAAAGTTGGTACAAGAAGTGATGCAAATGTAAATTAATGCTATGCTTTCACTGTTTCTAAAGCAGCAAACTGGTTTGCCTCAGCTTCTGGAACAGCAGAACCCCTGAAAAGCAAAATTGCAAGGCTGCCGATGGAGAAATAAATGAAGCAGCCAGAGCAGTGTGTCACAAACGAACCAAAATCAGTTCCTACAATGCATTGCCACCCGGGTCCATATGCTTTGTCAAATTCCTGCATCAAATACAAAAGCCTTCCATGAGCAAGCCATGACAAAAGATTGTGGACTATGTCAGATGGAATGGAATTGGTTCAGTCTGCTATGAACCAATTCATTCATGTTCAATGATTGTACTTTGAAATCATGTGTGCTACTTGTCATTTTACCTTCTTTATGAAGCGTGCTATCTCAGTAGCGTCAGTGACATCGAAGATATCGAGGGCTTTTGCAGCTAGATCAAGAGCATCCTGCTGCATGGTTTGAAGCATATCGGTCTCTCCAATCACTGCCTTGCCTTCCAGCATGGTTAATAAGCAGGAAGATCACAAAGGTTTTCTTCTGAGAAAGTTTTGAGAGCTGATACAGTATAGCAAAAGGAGCCTATTGATACTGAATTATGGATTAAATAGAAGTGGTGGTGGAGATTATTTTGCAGTTTTGGAATAAAGGGGCTAGTGCTAGTGGGTCAACCACGTATGGATTCTGTGCTTGTGGTCACCAACAGATTCTGTAGAATTATGCTGAAGAGCCAATTGATACTGCAGAGCCTAGTGGACCCTTTTGATTGCATAATTCTTATAGCCTGCCACTACTATGAAGAACAGCACATGGAATACATGGGAAAAGGGAGGCTTGATTGAGGCTAGTCATGCAAAATTACAAGACTATCTGGTCCTATTTATCGTGTACAAGTGGATATCTCCTTGTGGCTAGTCAGTAGGATTTGGCCTTGTGTGAGGCAGCCAAATATGATATTCATATTTATTTTTGTCAAGTTCTGTCAATGGGGCATTTCCTGTTGGGGAAAAGTATAGGGGGTGAGACTGAAGTGATGTGCACCAGAATATTGAATCCAGTCATAATCCATGAGTGTATTGAGTTTGTTGGTTAAGCATGATTTAATTAGTAGATAAACTAATCTTGTTAAACCACACTAGAGAAGCTTTGGTTTCATACTACAGAACGGAAGAATGCAAAAAGTAGTGGTGGCCAGGTCCTGGAGTACAGTACAATGAGGAAATAGCCAAAAAGAAATGGCCCCACCTTTCTAATCTGGTTTTTGGAGTTCCTTAACCGTTTAGGTACTGTGAAAAGATGAAAAATCAAAGTGACACTTACATGGTGAGTATGATCAGGAGATCAGAGATCAGCATCCACTTATTATTCAAGCAATGTAGACTGTCTAGCTACTTTGTTGTTTTGGTTCTAAGCTATTCTTAACATCTTATTATTAGGCTTACTGTCAAGATTTTAGCCATCACCTAGTAAACGATCATCTACATCTTTTCTGTGGTGCTATGATGTCTTTTTCATGAGGAAATCAATCAAAAAGGAATATAAAGATCTTCCAAATATTATGGAGGATGAATCTTATTTTTACTTTGCTCCTCTTTTAATCCTTTTCTTGCCTTACAGTGACAGTGTTTCAAAGAGAAAGAACAGTGCCACATTTCTTAATTGTCAATGTTACAAACAGGAACATCAACACTGATGTCTTCCAAAATCTGGTTCGGGAACCAGTGAACTTTGCTGAGATTAATCAATTGAGACCTAAGACAGATCCTAGACCAGTAAACATGCCATGATTAACCACTAACTAGACCCTCAAGCAGTAATTTATTGGGGCAAAAAAGGTGAGAAATCATGGTATTTGGAGCACTGGGAAATGTAACTAGAATCATTTCTAGGTGAACTGCCACCTTTGACAAACTAGTTTCATCATGACTTTTCCGTGTCCGCAATCCTGCTGTCAACTACAATCTCAAATGTTCATGAAGATTTTACCGAAATCTTATGGTTCAAACAAAATCATGCCAAGTGCATCATCTCAGATTCTCAGTAGTCAGCATAAGTTTCATGGAACAGCTGAAAAGCTGGATTTTGGAGACAAATATCAATTCCAAGGTTAGAGCAAAGACTAGTTAACATCAAAAATGAAATGAGCCAATGTAATACCTCATGTGAAAGTTTTGGAAGGAAAATGGACAGCAAATATTGCCAAAATTCACCGTCCAAACCCCTGGAAGATGTCAGATTGTCAAATATCAGCAAGTCCACATTTAATCATCACTAAATTGTGGGAAAGGAAAGCAGAAAAGAAGACACAGAATCTCTCCTGCCTTAGAAATTTGTGGTTAGATTGGACCCTTAGAAATCAAGAGAAAGCAGACCAAGTTGAAGACAACTTATAGAGTTTTCACATTTGAATTGACTGTTTCCTATGTTTCGAGCTGCTAGTTCACATGGTTTATGTCAACCACTGCTACTATTTATGGGGAATTGGTTCTTTTCGTTGTTCCCAATAAATTTTTTCATTATATAACATATTTATCGTTTAATTTGATAACATGATATTAAATAAAATAAATTGAACTTTTTTATGAATAGTTAAATACATGATTATAAATTTATTTTTACTGGAAATAAAAAATATATTACTTTTTATAACACATTTCTTATCAACCCAAAGATGCTAATGTTGTTAGACTTTAATTCAGAAAAATCTAAGGGTCATGATGCATGAATTAATCTTCTTGAAAACCATGCACTATATCCATTGAATGTCATGATGCAATGAATTAATCTTCTTGAAAATCATTCACTATATCCATTGAATAAGGCAAGGTGTATTTACTGATCTAGACTTTGTGATTCTTAAGAGTTCTATATAAATAGATGCATGAATTCATGGCATTATGACCCAAGAAATCAGATCAATATACAATAACCATTTTGCGGGTTTCAGGCATGCACCTTTGCTTTTGCTATAGATAACATGAGTAGCAGCTGAAGCCAGAATCTGTTCTAGAAGGCTGGGCCAAATGGGTACGTTGGCTGCTTCAAAATTTTAGCTGTGTCAAGCCTTCCCATTGAAGCCCATGAAGGTATGCCAGCTCTCCTGACTACTCAGCCTCTCAATTATTTAACTGATACATAAGATCTGCCAGCCAAATATTGCCAACCACCTGACCAACAGATCAAAGCCACCTGCACTGAAAGACAATTTAGTTTGCCAATTAACAAATGCAGAGGTAGCTGTTAGATATGTTAGGATGGTAGAATCAAAAACAATGACAGCAACTCAACCAACCCATAAGTAAAGACTTCTGCACTGTCTCCCACCCGAAATATCTAACAGGGTTGTTCTCCTGAGAACAATTTCTGTGTTTCTTTACCGTCAAGATTCCTTGTCAACCCTTCCCTCTAAGGCCAAAGGATGTACTGTTAGCCTTTTGGTGAAGGTGCTCAATCCCCCACTGACATCCAACCCAAACCTGACAGGAAGACAACGTGTCACCGACACATTCGTGTCGGTAACGCAACGGTATCCAATAAGCTTCCCCCACCTGTCTTCATCCCATGTAAAAGAAATATAATAAAGCCTCAAAAATAGACGAAAATATTTGAAGAAAACGTGTACAAATTTTGAAGGACATTGATGAAAGTAAACATTCAAAACCCTCCAAGCCTTCTTAGCAACTTCTTCGCCACATTTCCCTCCCTACCACTCTTTCGAGTTACCTTAATAAAATCTTTGGTTTTGTTTTGTAAGCCAAAGAACTTCCTGTTGTTTTTTGTTTATATTACTATAACGTTCTGATCAATCTCTCTCTCCCTTCCTGTGAGCTGATAGACCACCATTAGGCCACCCCCTGAGAGAGAGAGACGAGCACCAGGTTTCAACATGGCTCGCCGTCTCTTCGCCTGTTTTGGCAGGGGTGCATCTTGGTCTTCATCAAGAAATGAAGTCCATGCAGCACATGGGAAAACCAATGGAACAGTGGTTGAAGCAACAACACCACCATCATCAGCTGAAGGGCCAATCCTGGTGGAGTTGTTCTCTTCACAGGGATGTGCCACATCGCCGGCGGCTGAGCTGCTGCTGTCCAGGCTGGGGAGAGGGGACTTTCAGCTGGCTGCGCCGGTGATTGTGTTGGCGTACCATGTTGACTACTGGGATTACATGGGGTGGAAAGACCCTTATGGCTCAAGCCAATGGACCGTGAGACAGAAGGCTTATGTCGAGTCCTTGAGGCTTGACACGATGTTTACACCGCAGGTTGTGGTTCAAGGCAGGGCTCAGTGTGTGGCTAATGATGAAGATGCTTTGTTATCCACACTTGCTGGTGCTCCCAGGTTCCCTGCTCCAACATTCCAGGTTTGTATTGGTTTCTTTTTGTTCTTTATCTCGTCTTTGTTTGAATGGAGAATTGCATCACTGCATGCTTGAATTGATGAATTTCGGGATCTAGCCATTTGTTACAATTTGTGAAGTTTTTGCTAATTAAGGTCTAGATTCTGGTGACCCCAGAAAGTAATTGGGGAAAGAAATTAAGAAATGTAGTAATTTCAGGAAATGAATCCTCTGTGCTTTGTAATACTCAGGGACTTGAATCTTGAAACTTCAGTAAGCAATCATGAATCCATAATGGAAAAATTATAGGCTACAGGGAAATTAATGGCTTTATGGAAGTACTATCTAAAATATTGGAAAACCAATAAATTTTAAGCAATAATTTTTTTTGGTGCATCAATACATTGTAAAGTCCTTTAACATTAAATGGTTGATGCTTCAATAAAGGGAAAAAATTGGTTTTGATAAGATTGGTAATCAATAACAGATCTGGGTGGATATGGAACACATGGTAGGTTTACCATAGTATCTGTAAGTTGTCCCTTATCTCTCACCTTTGTAGAGTGAATATGGGTAGAAAATGTCCATTTTGCTTCTGCTAAATTCTAATGATGCTGAACTGCAAGACCATCAGCTGTTAGTGGAAAACTGTAAGTCTAATCCACAATAAATCCACATTAAATGATTTCACCAACTCTTTCTTTTCTTATACCAAAGCAAGTCCTCATCATCATATCTTCAGCCTATAGGTCTCTTCACCTTAAAGGAGGGTACATGACTATTCAGCCTTCTTTTTTGTTGATATGATACATGAAAAGTGTATTGTGTCTATTATGAATTGTCCAGCACATATCAGCTCCTGCAATTTATGTTGATCTTCATTGAAACTGAAAGAAATTATCAAGTTAATTTATGCCAGCGGGGAAAGTGACCATCATGCAAATTTTTTTTTTGTCTGAACAGGCAAATTTCCAAAGGCCTACATCAGAGTCCTTGCAGGTGACCCTAACAGGAACTTTGAGGTCTAAGGTAGACAACACTGGTGTCAACGTTATGGTGGCGTTATACGAGAACGGATTGGTGAATGACTGCCCTCAAGGAGAGAACAAAGGGAAAGTCCTATCCAATGATTTTGTGGTTAGGAAGCTTGAAAAGCTTTGCACTGTCAAAGACGTCTCTGCCAAGAAGACAGTCTCAGGAACTGTTACATTCACCCTATGGGATGGTTTCAATAGCAGCAAATGTGCTATTGCTGTCTTTGTTCAAAACAGCTCCCACCAAATTTTCGGCTCACAGAACTTTCAACTGCCAGATGATATGTGAAAAAAAATATTGAAAAATTAATGAAGCATTGTGTTCTGGCTACAATTTTAGGCAATTTATGTACAGGATATGTTCTTGCTTAGGTATTTGATTTCTTTGCTCTTCCTTGACTTATTTTCTTCTTTTTTCCTTTTGGAATTCCTTTCTTATTCCTGGTTTGATGTTTTAGGAAATGGAGAGAGACATCTGCATACATTATATGATATTCTTTTTAACCTTCCAATGCTTTATCCTTTTATAATTTACCTATGATTACTATCACAGTAGAACTAATGAAGACAGTCCAAGCAGCAAAGATTTGCAATCTGTAATTGCCAGAAAATGGTCAACAGGATTGAACTAATTGACTCCACATATACTGCAAAAACAAAGAGTCTTTATATTATCTGTGTAATGTAAAATATATACAATTTTCTACACATTCAGATTGTTGCCATATCTGTGCAAGTTCTTCATCATGGATATGTGGAACATCTTTCTCTCTTTGGCTATACAACCAGAAATTGCTGCACAGATTAACCGGTTTTGACAAGGGGCCAAGACTTCAATGAAATACTCAGTAGGGTCCCCAAGAACTCAAATAGACCACCATCCTTAGAGAGTCTTCTGCTCCTTTGTGTCCCTCACTCCCGGCTCTGGTGAACTTCTTTAATCCATAAAGTACACCAGAAATGAGTTTTTCTTGTGCTGCAGAAGATCCAATTGCTGTCGACTTTGGCTTGAGAGGAGATGTTCCGGATTTGATCTTATGATCTTTGAGCATAATTGCAGATCCCATGGCTACAATAATACTAACACACACCTTCTTTGTAAGCATCATTTCAAACATCAAGGAATAGAATCAGAAATGAAACTCAGGGAGATGATAAACCCTGAAAGATTTTAAAGTTTTGAGGAACTTGTTTAGTGTCTGAAGCTTGGCTTTGCAGTTTTAAAAAGACAATGGAGATGCAAGTTGACAGATAGGCATACAAAACCACTGGCGAAAACAAGCAGCTCTTTCGTAGGGAAAGGGATAGGACTCTGCAGACATAGCTTTCCCTTCAAGGTAAAATCTCAGTTCACTTGAACAGGAAATAGGTAATGTGTCCAATGTGGTGAAACACATACTTCCTTTGGAGGGTGAAAAAAACTGAGTATACTCCTCTGTCATAATCAATCATGTTAGTCTTTCTCTCAAACCTTCCTCTCTTCTTTCTCTTATTTCCATTGCCTATTGTGCAGTTTCAAGAACCTAGAATTCTTGATTAATTTTGGTTAAGCCTTACTTAGACTCGTTTCGACAATAAGAATTTAAGGCTTCATGATGTTGTGCTTAAGTTACTGAAGCAGTGATAGTTTGCGGACAATTCTTTTCAATGTAAGCAATAAGGATTGATAAACCCCACCATGAACCTGCTGCAGGTGGTTCTTATCAACTGAAGAAGACTTGTGTTTCCTTAGTGATCAGACCATATGTTTTCGATTGAAAAAAACACTTCACAACTTGTTTTGGTAATGAACCCACCTTTCCTGCAGGAGTGTTAATCTCCAGGATGACATCATTGTAATTGATTTTCCTTTTCAAGCTAACATCAAAGGGGGCAACTTGAGTGAGGAATTCTTAGCAATGCAGTGAACATAGACTCAAACGACAACCTCGTTTTTTTTTTTTTTTCTTATTTTGTCTGGTGTGTCAACATCCTCCATCTGTTTCTCTGTAGGTCACTGAGGTCCTGTCAGTCAGTGACGAAGTCGAGATTTCGTATTTATGAATGAAAATAATGTTTACAAAATAATTATATTAAAAAAATATATAGCAGTAAAGTTATAAAATTTTTAAAAGAATAAAAAAAATACAAAATTTTAAAAACTTTTAAAGAATGGAAGCCCTACTAGCCCCCTGCCTCCATCCTTCTGGTCAGTCAGTAATTTCCTTTTTAAGAATCATATATTTCTTTAAGGCACTAATATGGGTTTCTTTCACCCAATTGATTAACTTAACCATGGTTCAAATTTTTTACTATTTGGATCTCTGGACCCTCGTCATGTGTTATAATAAATTATTGTATTTGAGCATTTGAATTCATGATTATCACGTAATTTTACTAATTGAAAGAATAGAATTGGAATTGATTTTTGGAAATTTACAAGAAAATGAAAATTAATTATTTACTTGCCAATTAAGCAAAAGGAAGTTAGTAAGACACTTGCCAAATAAATGAAAAAAGAAAAAAGAGAGAGAGAGAGAATGGAAGGGTAGAGGGGTAATGTACAAGGAGGTTTTGGGGCTATCATGGCAGTCTCTTTCTGATATGTCACGAGCACATCATGCGGATAGAGGTAACCAAAAGAGCCAATTCAGTAGCGCTCAGCCTATGTTTAAGGTTGTAATTGCTTTGACAACTATTCATAAAGTCAAGGAGAATAAGGATACGGCATAGCGGCTGTCATGACTTTACTTAAATAAAAAAAAATTAAAATCTTTCAAAAATAAAATATCAATCATTCAATACTCTTGTTTACATCCATAACGTTCTATGGTTCTTTCTTAATTAGATAAGTCACATACAAATTGAAAACAAATTTTCAAAATTAATTTTCTTGGCATGTAGCTCAAAAATGAAAAATACAATTCAAAACGACACATTGCTCACAATTATAAAATTTTTCAAATAAATCATTGACATTAAATCCTTAATATCATTATTTTTTATATTTTTATTTTTAAAGTCAAATAATTTAAAACATAAGATTTCAGATATTATTATTTTTTATATTTTTTATTTTCAATTACTTATAAAAGAAACTTTTATTTCTCGTAAAGTGCCATATCAATGAAAATTTGAATATGTTCTGATATTATCTATATGTTATTGTGAAATCCGTGACACTAGCATACTAAAATTGCACCAAATCAGTATATCTCTGTAGGAGTTCTTGGATTGTTGTAACAATCTCTATAGGTCGTTATTGAAGGGAAGAATGTGACGGATATTTGGGTCATTGCCATTTCTGCTTCGAAGCCTTTCTCCTTTACGTCTTCAAACTCGTGTTTCTTAGTAAAGGTGGTTTGGATGCGACACTCTTAACAGTCTACTAATGTAATGAGAGCTAAGCTAAATACAATACCCAACAACTCGAAGAAGGAAGAAAAGTAGAATACAACCTTATTCCTTAATTCATGGCTTCACACCCAAGGCAGGCAAGAAAGAGTGTCGCCAAACCAAAAGAAATGCAAGCAATAATCAATTAAGTTTTGAAGTTCAGCTTCGGCTTGCGCATACACGGCAATTGGTGGAAGAATCATGAGAGGAATGAACATGAGGAAGCAGAATTGCGTTGAGCAGTTTCTTTTCTTCAAAGAAAAGAAAATGGTCCGGCAACGCTAGTGTCATATAAGTAAATTTAGCATTGTTTCGATTTTATGGTAAGAACCGATGATCGATCGTTACAAAACAGAATGAAATATGTATATCACTTCAAAACAGAGCAAGATTCGTGTTTGTCCAAATACAGGCGCAGGGTATGGTACAATCCTAGAGACTTCAATGGCTATAATTTCAATCAAATATTGCATCAGAAAAACCAGAGGCAATATTGCATCAGAAAAACGAGGCTAAACACCTGCAACATATATATAAGCACTCCAGCCTCGAAAAAAGTAAACCAAATATGATAATGCATTGTGCTCTGCATTTATTTTCATGACAAAAACAAAACCCATTATCTACAAGTAGGACGGCTTTAGCCCAAGATCGGGTACCTCGACCTTTACACTGTTCATATGATGAATAATGGCATGAGAACACACTGTTCTCCTCTACAGGAACTGGACTGTCGAACTCATCTCTTCACCTTTCCTCCCAACAGAGCCGCAAATTGAGGGGGTTCAAATGATGCATCTTTTCCACCAAAGAAGAAAAAGCACACTCAGCCAAAGCAACAACACTTTCATGTTGAATCTACCCTTCAACTAGCTGACGTGCCAAGTATTTCTCCCTTCGCTCTTTCTGAAAATAGTCAGTTATCATCATATGTAAGTAAAATAAGAAGGAAATAAAGGAAATATAGCACTATAGTAGGATGATATAAACAGTGGATTACCCATTCATCAATTACAAGACCTTCCCCAACAACCCGGGGACCTGTGTCTGGGGGTGGTTTCTTGCGTGCTTCAAGAGCAGCCTCAGCTTCAGCCAACTGATGCTTAAGTTTCTCCAATGCCTTAAGAAACAAGAAGAATAGCATTATAAAGCATTCAAGGAGTTAAAAAAGGAGATCAGCAGTACCGAAAGCAAAATACTGTAAGAACAATTCAGTTCTACTTACAGGGTTAGGCCGCTCCACATCTAGAAATACAACCCGCAAAATTCTTTCTACAGTCACTTGATCCCTTTGTTCATCAAACTGTACAAGAGAAGGCATAATCAAAAGTCCTCTATTAGCACCACCGTCTTTGGTTTAGGAGGAGTTAACATCCACTTAACAGCATGAACATGCAAACTGCTCATGTCCAACAAAAGTACACAATTAAATTAACCCACAACCAGTAAGAACATTAGCATTAAACAAAAAGAAGTATGAGGAAACTTTAAATAGTCTAAGGAAAATCTTATGTTTTAAAGGATCCATTGTACACGCCCACACCAGATGACACGGCATCCCACCAATGATCATGTATCAGAGATTTCAGATAAACCAGTACAATTAAATTTTCTGGCACTTCCCATGAATGCACACTATTCTATAACTACCTATCCAATTAAAAGCTATCAAAACCCACATTTTACCGTTGCAATTTGTGACTAAATTCATACTATGCAGGCAGGTCTAACAAAAACAACTGCTCCAGCAATGGGAAGGAAAAAAAAAAGGATCATTGTTGTGCATAATAAATGGAAATTCAACAGATAATAGGATCCCAACCAGATTACTCATTAAAGATGTGTTATCTAACCACAATTCCATATGCATGTTGACCATCACACAAACAAGCACAACCAACTACAATACCAACAACTAAACCAGTTTTTCCAGTTCAACATTTTCAAATACCTGACAATTTCCATTCGAATGTATTCATTCATACTAATGAAATGCTAACAGAACAACAGCCTCTATTGAACAAAAACAAGAAACACAAGATGGCAAACTTGTAGCAAGCAAGAGCATTACTGACTTACAAGCTCAGGCAAGTATTCGTCCCCAGCATTAACCTTCAAACTCATGATCTTAAATTTCACTTTACTCTTTAAATCCTTTAAATCCACCTGCACATCATCATTCTCGGGTCGCTCCACAAACTTAAACACTGCCCACAATGAATCACACAGAAACATTGTAGAAACTAAACCAAACAAAATTATTAAAATAAAATCTAAAAAAAAACGTAAGAGATTTTATTACCAGTCGCAATAATGCTTTCCCCTGGCGCCAAAATGCCACCAGGCGGACGCATAAAACAACTCTTCGGCGCAGTAGTTTGAAACTAGAAACAACAAACAAACAAAAAAAGTTAATAATTAAATAAATAAAATAAAATAAAAAAACCAGAAAATTCAATGAAATGATCAGATATTATATTATTAACTGTAAATTTTAAATTATATTTCTGAAAATAACCATAACAACTGTCGCAAGAAGCCTCATTTTACTTGACAGCCAGAACATAAAGAAAATTAGTATTAAGTTATAAAAAATCATAATAAAATGAAAAAAATGTGTAAGTTACAGTAAATTTTGAACGTAAAAAACAAGAGAAGTAAATAAAAAAATTAATAATTCGATTCTACCTTGAAAGCTACGTGAGATTTACTCGTGTTCTTCAACCTGATCGCACTTCTCACCTGACTTCCAGGCTTATCTACAATTAAACAAAAAAAATTAAAAATTAAAAGATTATAAAAATTTAGCTTAAAAATAAGCTGCAAAGTCAACGGCTAAGCAAAGCGGGGGTGTGCTGTACAAGGGAAGTAGAGCTTATTAGTAGGATCAAGCCGAAGCCGGCGCAGAGGAGGGAGAAGCGATCTAGCCACGGAAGAAACGGTTTTGGAGCGCTTGGCGGGAACCGCTTCCGTATGACGGTTGCCGTTGTGGTTGAGGTTTTGAGTTGAGGAAGAAGACGAAGAGTTGTTCATCGTGGCGGAACTTAGCCAAAAGGGACAGAGACTAAACAGCTTCCTCTCGGAGCTCCGCCGCTGCCGGTTGACGATCGCCATGGCTCCGCCGCAAAATTAACCCGTCGACTGTGAAGGCAAAGCAAATCTCTCTATTTTTCGTCGTTAAAAGAAAAAAAAACAAAAAAATCCCGAGGAATTGAATCTTTTGCTTAGTTTCCCTTTGCTTTTCCTTTTTTGTTATATACATAAATATATAAAATTTATATACTCATCGTATCTTTTTTTTTTGTATTTTTTTGTTTTTGTCAGTGGACTTTGGACATGGGAAAAATGGTTTACATTCTCGCCGAATTTAAACGCGGGTCGGATTTCAATTCTATATTTCACTAAAATTTATTTCAATTCACATCCGTCGCTGATGCCAGTATTCTTAGGTGGCATTATCGTCATCAAGTTTTATATCCAAGGGTACTTTTGGTTTCAAACTCCAAGCTGATGAAGAGCGAGATGAAGGGTACTTTCGTCAGTTTAATATTTTTTCACTATTCTTAGGCTTTTTGGAAGTTCATTAATTACAGATTAATAAAATTAGGTGAAAGGTTAAAAAAAAACATATATGTCAAGGCGGTGCATTTACAAAGGGCGGCTAGGTTTGTTGGAGGGTTAGTTGGGAAGTTAGGAATTAATTAGGTGAATAAATGATTAAATAATTTTTTTAAATATCAATATTGTTCAAAAAAAACATAACAAATAAATATAAAAATAAGATTTTAGTTTGAATCGTGTGGGGTTTTTAAATTTTTAAGATATAATACTTAAAAATATAATTTTTTTCTTTTATGGCATTCAATTAAATTTTTGTGTTTTATTTTAAATCAAATAAAATTTTATGATTAACAGTTAATTTAAAATGTCATTTATAATTTTATATCATGTGATGCTTGTCATGGGTCGAAATTTAAACCTAATGTCGTACGAGCTTAAACTCTTAAAATAAAACTTAAGTAAATCCATAAATCATGAATTCACTTTTTCAATTTAAAAGACATATTTGATAGGTGATTGAAAATTTATATTTATATACATACATCTCATTTCTTACTGATATGAGATCCGTGATATTCTACCTTACTCCACTTCACCCAATTATGCAACGCTTCTATTGTATTAGCTCTTTACCTAAAAACTAAAAAAGATGGACTCTTATATTAGTCTAGCTCTACCTTGATCTTTCTATCTCTTATGGAGATTCTACATCAATAAAGATTTGGATTTACTTTGATACCACTTGTCACAAGTCGAAACTTAAACTTAATACTGTACAATTTTAAGTTTTTAAAATAAAGTTTATAAATCATAACTTACATTCCAACCCAAAAAACATACTTGATACATAATAAAAAATCTATATTTATATACTTAATATTCATCTCATCTCTTATTTATTTGAGATTCGTGACATTACGAACGTGACATATTCATTATTATTAATATTAATACAGTACATTATTTTTACTAATATTAGATTTTGTACTTATTTACTTAAAGTCAATGAAACATGGAAAGTATATTAATCCTTTGGGGGATTAGTTAAGTAAGCTGACTTTTTTTGCTTCGGATTGAGCAATTTTTTATAATTTATTATAGATGGGACATCACATTTTAATAATCATATAATTCTAACTTAGTATTATTATTTTTTTCTTATCTTATACGGTCATGTTTGTTGTGATTATTTTAATACATGCTTGTATCATACATTCCTTTACCTGTGAGATTAATAGGTAAATAATAATTAGGTATGTTGTAACATAAAGTTTTTATATATTAATAGTGTTAATATTGTATGATTGTGTACCTAAATTCTGACTTAATCTAACTCATACCGATACAAAAATTAAATGATTCAAAATTCAATTTAAGTAACTATCCAAATTCGAACAATTAAATACTTGTACTAATTTGTGGACCCTTTTTGTAATGAAGCATATTTTTTACATATAATTAAATCATTGGGTATTTAAATGAAGTTATTTTCATAAATTAAATTAATAATTCCACTCGAAACAAAAATTAATTATTAAAAGACTGACGACCACCAACTTCGATTTGCCATTGGGTAAGGGCATTTGTTATTGGCTAACAGATTAGCCACCAAACACAGATAAGCTATGGGCTTTGTCTGTACTGCAAGGATGGTTCACAATTATTGCAAAAAATAAATACCATGCATGCACTACAAGTTTTTGATATTTCCTTTTGATTCAATAATAATACTAATGAATTTCAAGGTTGTTTGTGCATTATCAAAGTATGAACTTGGCTCACATACATCATTGCTTTACCAATGTTTTTCTGCTCTATTGTTACTCTTCCTTGTGCACCTAATTGAGGCAAAAATTTGCAAAACAAAAGAATTTTTTTTTGAAATAATATTTTCCCATATTATAGATTTTGATATTTCCAAATTCTCAAAAATTATTTTTGAATATGAACAATTTGATGCTTTACGCAATCATTAGTTAAGATTTCTCTTTGTATAAATTTATGTATGTTCGTGTATTTTATTTTTAAATATTCCATAAAAAGTGTAATTTATCACAACGTAAGAATTGAATACTTATTTATCTATCGTGCTAAAAAGAGTTTATGATGATGATGATCCGAATACACGACCATTTTATTACTTAAACCCTAATAAAATTTTGATAAAGTCAAAAATAATAAAATCCGATCTTTTAAATTATTTAGTCAAATATAAATTACCCGAATACATAAAAAAAAAATTATGTAAAAGTTTGCAAGTGAAAGTTTTTATACCTTGTCCAGCAAAAATTGGGAGATAAACTTGAAGTCTGCCTCATAATTATGCCATCCAAATTGAGTCAATTGACCAAGTGATTAACCTAAGCTTTAAATGTTGATACCCTGCAAAGTTAGGGTTTACATTAATGGAAACATATTAATGTCTTGCATTGAACAGTTTCTGTTTTGGTGGAATGGTCGACCCACACATTTATTTCTTTATCCTATTCTTGGTCCCCGTCAGAAGGACTTGAAACTTCTTGGACCAAGAAAAATTATTTGAGGACCAAACATGTTTGAGGTCAAAGACCATATTTAATAAATAATTTCCTATAGAATATGTTGAATCTTGTTTCTTTTGGTTGGACTATCTCTGATTTTTTTTATATTATTTTATACCAAAAAAATGGTAATTTTTGTATTTTATTACTAAATATAGTATATTAATTAATTTTTTATCCTTCTTAGTATGAGTATTTTTTTTTGTACGACTTCTATTTTCATTAAAAAAAATCAAAATTATGCACTTATTAGAGTATATATGACCTAATTATAATTGATACGCGATGGGTATTGTAATTGACGAAATAACTTTACTGTTATGATTTATAATTAACACATTATAAATATTGTAAGTGACGGAATAATTTTACTGTTATGATTTATAATTGATATGAAATGAATATTATAAGTGACAGAATGGCTTTACTGTGATGATTTATTAAGATTCAAATTTTTGTTTGTTTCGATTTTTTTTTTTCGCCCACTGAAATTTGAATGTAGAACAAACTGTTCATTTGTTTTTGACTTATTGACATTTTTCTTTGTTTTTGACAACAATATGACAGTAGCTAGCTTAACCTCTAATCAAAATTCTATGATTTCCTCTCCTAGATTTGTCCATTTCCAACAGGATAAAAAAAGAGTACAAGACATTACAACTAACCCCTATAAAACACTCAAATATTTGTAGGCCCAGGATCTCTTGAAAAAACATATCATCCTTTCAAGCATGACAAAACAAGGAAGTTACCCTTAACACATAATTGTAAGAACTTAATTGGGTCCCCAGCAGATCAGATGGCTGAGAGCCTCAGCCTTCTCTTCTTCCCTCTTTCTCTTCCACATCTCATCATCACTACCCGTCAATCTCTTCCTTTGATTGATCCCACCATCTTCCCCACTACCACTGTTAACTCTTTCTGCCACACCACCACTCCCTTTCTGCTGCATGGACTTGAATTGCACCTCAAACTTGCACACTCTTTCTTTACTACCCATCTCTCAGACACTCTCAAGCACCATAAAAAGCAAGATTTCAATCTGGGTTTTTCTCCTAATATTTTTTCAGGGTAGTTCTTGAATGAATTGAGTGTTCTTTGTTGGGGTGTTTTATATATGTGTTGCATGTCACCATGGGCTTATGTACCTATGTATAGGTTTGGAGAAGAACAAGGCCAGTTTCTACTTTTCTGGTTCTAGTAACTCCTTGGGGGAATGGAACACTGATACAGGAAGTGGTTTTGTGAAGAAACTGAGGATGAATTCAGTGGTTTTGGGCTTCCAGTCTCAGACTTATGGGTGGTTGTTTTGAATTCAATGGGTGGATTCAAACCCTCAAAAGATATAAAGGTTGTTAGCATATTTTATTGGGAATATGCTAAGGAGTCTTTTTCAAAGTATATTTTAAAGTTAATTAATATCCCTTTAATAGTAATATTTATTTACTAAATGTAATAATTAATCATTAATGTGATGATTTTTAATACAATAATCTAAGATAAATCTTTTAAACATATTTAATTAATTTATAAACACATTTATAAATCCGTATGTGAAATTTTTAATTTTTATAGTTAATAAATAAGATAGTAATCTTTTGTCTTTCAAAAGATTGTACAAGATTACAAACCTTTTTTCCTGTCGTGAACATTATAAATTATCATAAAATTATCTTAATTATGTACTTTTGATAATATTTTGATAATTTTTACAAGCTCTAGTCGATTAAAAAAAAGAAAATAATTACACAATTAATATATATATATATATAATTCAAAATTATAAGATTGAAGATAGAACCATTGACTCTAAAATCTAGTTGTGGAAGGACCCCAACAACTCATCTGCAAAACTATCTCCATTGACAACTCTGATTTCTCCATCTCAGAGTGTTCCATATCATTGGAAATGGTGCTCATTGGTGACAAACAGCAAGAAAAAGAGAGGATTTTAGCTTGAGCAAAAGCTCTAATATTGTTCTTGGCATGCTGCTTAACTGACCTTAGTGTATAATTCCATCTACAAATTCCTTGATCTTTCAATGTCTCCACAGCACCAATTGCAGCTGCCACCATCCACATTTTCTTCTTCTCCAAAAAACCTTCTCGCTCAAAACGACGTCATTTTGCTCATTCGGGAATACAGCGTTGAACTATTTTTTTCCCGTATTTTTATTAAAGACTTAGTGGAAGTGAAGGAGGCTAATGGGTCCTTTATATAGTAAAACTATGGTAAATGGAATATTTTTGGGTACTAAACGACGAGAGCTTAGCTATGCCGACTGTCGTTTTGGACAAGAATTTTATCTTAACCGGTGCTTTCAATGTAGGGGAGAGAAGTATAGAGAAGAGAGGAGTGTGAAATGGACAAATATGAGTAAGTATATTCCCCATGTTTGAGGGCAAAAAGTAGAATAATTTTTGTCTTTGGTTATATCAACTTGCACTGTGTTTTTTCCCCCACTATTATTTGGTTGGGATACAATTATATATTTATATTGAAAGATGTCTATATTCCATGATTGTGATTTAAATTAGAGTTTTTTTTCTTTTTCCTTTTATTTTTCTTCTAATAATCATTGTCAAACATGAAGGTGAATATGGGATTTATTTTTTATTTTTTTATTAGCATAATTTGATTTTTTTTTTTTGGATATGTAAGGGTGAGAAAACAGCTAAAAAGCACAACCTTTAAATATCAAATTAAAGGTAAGCATTTGATTGATTTGATTTTAAAATTTTTATAAGATCGAATTAATTCAACAGTCATAAAAATATCGAAACTAATTGAATTATAATAAATGATTTGAATGTAGAATATTTTTTTAATTATATTTAATATGTATTAATAATATTTATATATAATATATTTTAAAGATATTTTGAGATATATTTGAAAAATATTAACAATATTTATATATAAAATATATTATTAGTAATCAATTTTTCAATCAAATTTTGACTAAACCAATCAAATAAACTACCCTTGTTAATCAATAATCAAATTCAATTAATTTAATCGATTATTTTGATTTACACTATTTATTTCTTTTCCAATTTTTAGAGTGTAAACCCAAAAATGCAAAGTGAGAAAATATATATGCTTGAGCTTCTTGGGCTACTGGCCCAGCCCAAACTTAATATGCACATGGTTAACCCAAGCATCAAGATGTTCATAATTGTAATTAAATCCTAACTGCTTGCTTATGTGACTGAGATAGGCATTAGGAAGTCTTTGAGCAAACCTCTCTGTGGAGCTTTCATTTCTGTATGCAAATTATAGTTTATATGTTTATCAGGTTTCATCTGGAATTTGCAACTGTTGGCACTTTCAATTCTGATTTATAACCAAAGCTTTCACTCAAAAACCCAACAAGTGTAAAGAAAAAGGAAGTTGGGCCATGTTTCTGATAGAAATTTAGCATTATGTACACAAAATAATGCAGGGGAGGGGGGTTTAATTAGGACCCCAACAGCTTAAATACATAACTTTTCTCAGGGACTCTTCAGATTGCTTCAACTTGTCATCTCTCAGTTTCTTTGACAAAGCAGAAGAAGTTGGGGTGGACAGACTTTTGGCCGGAGAATATTGTCTGATGTTGGCCTTGGCATGGTTTTGGACTGATCTTAATGCATAATTCCACCTACAGACTCCCTGATCTTTCAATGCCTCTACCACCCCAATGCTTGCTGCCACCACCCAAGCTTTGCTTGCAGAACTCATATCTCTTCTTCTTTTGATTTTGGGGTTTCCTGAACTTAAAGAGTTAAGGCTGGAGATGATTTGGATGAGTTGTGATTTTGTCTGAATTTGTGGTTTTCTGGGATGACAAAAGGAGGAGGTTTCTTATATAGTGAAAGGTGTGAGAGATAGTGGGGGGTGGTGGAGAATAAATGAGACTGCAAAACCAGAGGCAGTGTGGGAGACACCCATGGTATTAGTCTAGAAACCAAGATCTAGCTCAATAAGATCTGTCTTTGCACCTGGACAATGGGCAGGAAAGAGACAAAAGTGTCAACAGGAAAAGGAGGATACACTGACTTAACACTGGCTCAACTAAGATAAGGTATGGAGGCCCCTGTGGAAAATTTTTTTGTGACATAAATGAAATTGAAGTAGGATAATGGATTTAATAAAATTATATAAAAGAAAAAAAGAAGCTTAAACAACAAATGTAGGGATGATAATAGATATTCTTTAAACGAGTATAAGAGAATACTTAACTCGAGTAATTTATATTTTAGTTTGAGATAAATTAGAATAATAAATTTTAAACAAATGAGGAATTAGAATCCCTATAATTTTGGGTACCAAGCCAAGTGCTTAGCTTATGTTATTAAAGAAAATTAACAAAACAATAAAGTGATTAAAGAATTATAATTTCATTGACTACTATATTAATTAATTTCAACATGGGTAGAGAATTATATAGAGAACAATAGGATTGTGAAATGGACAAATTTGAGTAAATATATTCCCTAAGTTAAGGACAAAAGGTAGAATAATTTTGTCTTTGGTTATATCAACTTGCACTGTTTTTGGTTGGGTTCAATAATTTATATGGAAAGATGTCTATTCCATGATTGTGGTTTAAATTGGAGTTATTTATTTATTTAATAATCATTGTCAAATACATCATAAAGATGAACATTCCTCTTGATGGAATTAATTTTTTAATTTTTGTTTTGTTTTGTTTTAATTATATTTTTAAAAATATTAATAAGATTTATATATATTTTACATCTATGAGTGAAAAAATCATAGTACAACATAAGACATGGTGCAATTGAATGAGGGAGAAGGTACCAAATCCAGTATAGAAAGAGATGAGATGTCCATATTAGGAATCAAATCCCAATTGCTTGCTTGTGTGAACAAGTCTTTGAGCTAATCCTGATTTTTAGAGCTTTAATTTCTGTATGCAAATTACAGTTTACATGTTTATCAAATTTTATATGAATTTGCAACTGTGGGCACTCTCAATTTTGATTTATAAGTTATAACCAAAATGTTCACTCAATAATCCAACAAGTGTAAAGAAAAAGAAAAAGGAAGTTGAGCCATGTTTCTGATAGAAATTTAGCATTATATACACAAAATAATGTAGGGAGGAGGGGTTAATTAGGACCCCAACAGCTTAAATACATAACTTTTCTTAGGGACTCTTCAGATTCCTTCAACTTGTCATCTCTCAGTTTCTTTGACCAAGCAGGAGAAGATGGGGTAGACAGCCTTTTAGCCTGGGAATATTTTCTGATGTTGGCCTTGGCATGGTGTTGAACTGATCTCAATGCATAGCTCCACGTACAGAGCCCTTGATCTTTCAATGCCTCCACCACCCCAATGCTTGCTGCCACCACCCAAGCTTCGCTTGCAGAACTCATATTTTCTGTCCTGATGATTTTGGGTTTTCCTGAACTAAAGAGTTAAGGCTGGAGAGAATTTGGATGAGTGCAAGACTTGTGATTTTGTCTGAGAATTTGTGGTCTTCTGGGGTGACAAAGGGAGGAGTTCTCTTATGTGGTGAATGGTGTGAGAGATAGTAGGGAGAAGTGGAGAATATATGAGAGTGCAAAACCATAGGCAGTTTTATCAACAGTTTGGGAGACACCCATGGTATTATTCTTGGAGCCAAGTCCATTTTCATGAGTGGTTTATTTAGTTATTTCTTCAATATGATCTGCCTTTGCACCTGGACAGTGATAAGGAAATAGACAAAAGTGTGATAGAAAAAGAAAGATACAATGACTCAACACTGACTCGACTGAGGGGTGGCCTCTTGTTTTTATTGTCGGGCAACTGGCAAGTATAGTTTCAAGGAAGCCCCTGATTTAGCATTTGGAAAAAACAAATATTGTTAAAACAGGATGTTGTCACTTGTCAGTCTGTAAAGAGGAGGAAAAAGGGTGCAAATCTTCCCAGATCAGCTTTCAGAGATTTGAACAAACTTCAGTAGGATAATGGTATATTATCAGATTCACCTTGTCACTGTTGCTTCTGTAAATTTTGATTGGTAAAATTAGCAAATCTTCTAGTTAATTTGGTGAATTTGTTGATCATAAATAATCAAGCAATTCAGAGATCATAAGATTTTAAGTCTGAATAACATGATTTCTTAAGCTTTATGATCTTAAAAAAAGTGTATATTAGGACTGTTGTCTGTTAAAAACAATACAAAGAATTTTTTGTCCATGGAAAAGCTAGTACTAAAGCTTAAGATCCAGCTTTGGCATTGCAGCTGAAGTTTCCAATAATTTGTATTCTTCTCATTGTCTGCAGTCACAATAGGAATTGAACTATGAAATTTTGGCTGAATAGTCTTCAATCCAAAGGGTTTTTCCTTTTTCCTTTTAGCCTTCTGATTACAAACAGAAAACCCCAAACTTTTTGTTAAATAAATAGAGCGTCTTGCTGTTCTTTACACCCAAATCCACTGCTAAACTTGCTGGCATATGAATGGCATTCCTTTAAATCCTAGTAAGTTTCAAGCATATCCTTTGCCTGCTGAAAATAATTTTGGGTCTCTCCATGAACTTATCATCCAAAACCATATTCAATTTCATTCCATTTCTGGCAGCTGGGCTAACTGGCCTTCAAGTTTTAACACCAACAAGCCAAATCTTGAACCAACCCCTACTCATCCAAAATCCAAAAGCTGAACCAGTAACAAAATTGGGGAGCCAAGAAAATATATTCTACTACTACAATATTTAGCAATTTTCATTACATGAACATCCACAACACTAAAATCTAATAGTACTAGGACCCCAACAGCTCAAATCCATGACTTGTCTCATTATCTCTTCAGATTTACTCATCAACTTATTTGAAGCAGCTGAAGAAGAAGAAGAAGAAGAAGAAGAAGAAGGACAAAGCATCTTGGCCTGATGGTCAAATGATCTGATACAGTTCTTGGCATGTTGATGCAGTGACCTTATAGTATAATTCCACCTGCAGATCCCTTGGTCTTTCATTGCCTCTACTGTGCCTATTGTAGCTGCCACAACCCAGGCTTTCCTTGCTTCTCCACTCATTGTTTGAAATTCCTTTGCCTGCAGAAAACTATTGATTTGCAGAGGGCTGATGTTTGTGTTGAATAGTTGATATTGAGATGGAGAAAAGAAATGGGTTGTGTTTAATATTTATAGAGGAGAAGACTTGGAAAAACAATAGGCGGTTTGAGCCAGATAGCAGGAGGTAGAACTGTGGAAAGGGCCCCTGGTTTTTGGAGACAAAAGATAAAAAAAACCAAGTGCTTGCCTTCCCTACTTTTCCTTTTAATTTGTAATAGTTAAGTTTACGTGGGGGGTCAAACCTTTGACTTTTTCCAGCAGGATTTGAGGTTGGTGGGTCAGTTTTCATTTTCTCTTAAACAAGAGAAGATTTTATATTTAATTTAATGATAACTGTGTATTTTTTATTAAAAATTTTAATTTTAATTTTATATTTAAAATAAAACAATTTAGATCTAAATTTTTTTATAGAAAAATGAGGTCTTAATATCGTTGCTAATTTTTTTTAATCATGGTTTAAAATGTAATTTTGGGTCAAAATTTTATATGATTGTGATATTATTTATTATACGTTGGATGAGAATGTAATTATTAAAATTTGTATAAAAATTTAAATCGATGATTATTAATATGTAATTTAAATTCAACAAATTACTGAATCAATGATATTTTGAGAAGTTGTGAAGTAAAATATTAATTGTTTTTTCATTTTTTCCATTACAATATAACTTTTAAAATTAAAGCTTAATCGTTCATACAAAAAAAAAAGAAAATAATATTTGACTTTCTCCTAATTGTTTGGTACGTAAAGAGGATTGAGTTGATAACGTAAGTAATATCGGATTAAATGAAATTTAATTATAAAAAAATAAAAAGAAAATTAAGAGATAAGAATTAAATTTCTTTTCTGTTTTTTGAAAGGCAAGAATCAAATTCAGATGTATAATTCCTTGATTAAGAGCCCAACACCCTAATTAATATTGCTACTAATCAAGTGAGCCAGCTATAAGAGTAGTATTTATTTGTTAGTATTTTTTTTTCACTTTTTAAAAAATTGCTATAAAGAAATAAAAGGTAAATATTAAAATCATATGATTGATTAAAAAAATAGATAAATTATTATAATATATAGTATCAATGTATAAATATAATTAATCTATACAGAAATAAAAATCATGTGCATTAAATGGAAAAACAATAGGCAGTTTTATTAACAGCTTGGGAATTGGTAGAAAGTGGAATGAAATCCCTGGTATTTGAAATACCAAGAAAAAGCTTTCCAGCTCATTTTTGATGAATTAGTCAATAACTCAACACCCTTTTCATGAAGAATCTTTCAACAGTAAGGAAAATTTCAAGATGAAATTTCCAGAAATTTGCTCAATACAAATTGGCATTAATTAGCTCAAATATAAAAATTTTCATCTCTTTTTATCCAAAATTTTAAGCTAATATTAATAGAAAATGTAAAGCATTTTCTCAGAGCTAAGTAAATTCCCATTCTAGAACCATGGTTGAGCTTGTTAGCAGGTATTAACATATGATCAAATCAAGCTACATCTTCAAGTAGAAAACTTTGGGTTTGAGTTTTGAGTTTTGGAATGAGGGATTTGCTCTCAACTTGTATGGAATCCAATCAATGGATTAGAAAGATCAGATAAAAAGAAAATGTTTAGACTGAATTTCCATATATTTAATCACTTGATCTCCAAATCAATACATAGAGCCCAATCTTGAAATCATATATGAAAAACATAGAAAAGAAAAAGAGAAATTAATTACATTTATTGAGATTGTCTCTCCTTGTTTCTCTCTGCCAAAAATTTCTATGATCCCAAACATCAGAATCTAACAGTATTAGGACCCCAACAGTTCAAATCCATGACTTTCCTCATTTTCTCCTCAGCTTTCCTCCTCTTCTCCTTCCTCAACTTACTTGAAACAGCAGCTGAAGATGAAGAAGAAGAAAGCATCTTGGCTTGAGAAAAGGACCTGATGTTGTTCTTGGCATGTTGATGCAGTGACCTTATAGTATAATTCCACCTGCATATCCCTTGGTCTTTCAGTGCCTCCACTGCCCCAATTGTAGTTGCCACAATCCAGGCTTTCCTTCCTGCGGCTGCACTCATTGTTAAAAAGGGTTTGATACTCTTCTCTGAAAGATTAGAAGATGGAGATTTCCTTCAGGTTTTTTCCTGATGAGGTTCTGATCGAGCTTGGGGTTGGAGGAATGAAAGTTTGGGTCCTTTTATATAGTTGGGAAACTACAGGCGGTTCAAGCAAAGCAAAGCAAAGAAGGAAAGAGAACCCATGGTTTTTGGAAACAAAACCAAGTGCCTTGGTGGGCTTTTACCAGGCTGGAAAGTACTTTGGGATTTTCGATGCCTTCACTGGCATGAACCAATGGCTTAAACGTGTGACCGAAGATTCCAGGAAATCTAACTTTCCTTTCAGTCCAAACAAAAGAAAAGTTGTGTCATCTTTGCCTGCTTTGGTGTTTTCATTTCATAGAAAATGTCTATGTTCTAAACCCAACCGTGCATCAGGATTTGGACCATCTGCTTTGGTGGATTTAGTCAGTAAATTATGGAAAAAATATAAGGTTTGGATTGTGCCCTGTATTTCACATGGGCTTTCTTGTTTACTATTTAATATATAGGTGTTTTGTTCGAACTTGAATCAAGCAGTTAGAAATATAATTATGGCTCCATCAATGGAAATTCTCTTATTAATCTGGCATGAACAAGACAATTTTGGGCAAGGCACTCTTAAAAAATAGGGTTTTTCGATTGATAATGTTTTAGATATATAGAGACTCCATGTATAATTTAAATCCAAAGCCAAACTCAAATTCATTTCAATTTTTGGACAGGTGCATGCCAAAGGCTTGAATAGAATCCTTCTAAACCATGAAAGTTACATTTAAATCTAACTGTAGTAGGAACCCAGGAGCTCAACTCCATCACTTTTTTGATGGACTGCTCAGATTTCTTTACCTCAGGTGGCAAAGATGGAGAAGAAAGCACCTTGGCCTGATCAGTAAAGGAGCTAAGATTGTTCATGGCTTGTTGGTGCAATAACCTCAGGCCGTAATTCCATCCACAGATTCCTTGGTCCTTCAATGCCTCCACTCCAAAAATAGTAGCAGCCACAATCCATGCTTCCTTTGTTGCACTCATTGTTTCCTTTTATAAGTTTTTCAGTATGGTGATAATGAAATGGGATTGATCATGTCCCTTTTATATGGGTTGGTGACCAAATATATTATTACATAAATGAAAGAGCACTATAACACTATTGGTAGGTTGGTTTACAGTATTTGTCAAAAGTTTAGGGAAAGTTACTTTTCTCTTTTTAATTTTGGACACAAAATCAAACACTTAACTCAGGTACATACCTCTCTTATATACTTAACAGGTGACTTATCTTATCTCTTCTTGGTGTGATATTTACCAAAAGTTTAAGAAAAGTTCCCAGTCTCCTTTTTACTTGGATACAAAACCAAGTGCTTATGTTACAGATTTATATTTCTAATATACTTAATAAATGGAGGAAAGTTTATATTTATATATCCAAAACTCATTTCATTTCCATGTAATATTTGTCAATAATTTAGTAAAAGCTACCTTTTTTTCCTTTTATTTTAGACACAAAACCAAGTGTTTATGTTACAAATTTATGTTTTTAATATACTTAATAGGTGTGGGAAAATCTATATTTATATACCCAAGACTCATTTCCTATGTTTTAAGAATGTGACATTTGTCAATAGTTTAGGAAAAGTTACCTTTCTCCTTTTTATTTTGGACACAAAACTAAGTGCTTATGCGATAGATTTAGGTTTCTGATGTACTTAATAGGTGAAGGAAAGTTTATATTTATATACCCAACACTTATCTTGTCTCTTATTGATGTAATATCTGTCAATAGTTTAGAGAAAGTTACCATTCACATTTTTATTTTGAAAACAAAACCAAGTGCTTGTGTTACATACTCACGTTTCCAATATACTTAATAGGGATAGGAAAGTTTATATTTATATATCAAAGACTCATTTCATCTCTTATTAATGTGATATTTGCCAATAATTTTTATTTTGGATACAAAATCAAGTGTTTATATTACATATTTACATTTCTAATATATTTAATAAGTGGAGGAAAGTTTATATTTATGTATTCAAGATTCATCCCATTTGTTACTAATATAATATTTGTCAATAGGTAAGGGAAAGTTACCTTTTTCCCTTTAATTTTAGACACAAAATCAAGTGTTTAAGTTATAGATTTTCGTTTCTCATATACTTAATAGATATAGAAAAGTTTATATTTATATACTAGAAACTTAGCTCGTCTCTTACCGATGTGATACTTGCTAATAGTATAAAGAAAGTTACCTTTTTCCCTTTTATTTTGGATACAAAATTAAGTGCTTATGTTACATATTTACATTTTTTATATACTTAATAGGTGAACATAAGTTTATATTCATATATCCAAAACTCATTTCGTCTCTTATTGATATGATATTTGCCAATAATTTAAGAAAAATTACTTTTCTCCCTCTTATTTTGGGCACAAAACCAAGTGCTTATATCACATGTTTACGTTTTTTATGTACTTAATAGGTAGAGGAAGATGTATATTTGTATAACCAAGACTTATGTTACATACTAATAGGTCTAGTTGTGTAGGAAGGAATATATTCATATATCCATGCTTGTGTTTCTTATATACTTAATAGATAAAAGAAGATTTATATTTATATACCAAGACTTATCTCATTTTTATTAATGTAAAATTTGTTGATAGTTTAAGAAAAGTTATTTTTCTCCCTCTAATTTTGAACGCCAAACCAAGTATTTATGTTACACGCTTAGGTTTCTCATATACTTAATAAGTGGAAGAAGGTATATAGTTATATATCCAAATTAACGTTTTTGATATATTTAATAAAAAATCTGTATTTATATACTCAAGACTCATTTTATTTTTTATTGACATGATATTTATTAATATTTTAGATCAAAATTACTTTTCTCCCTTTTATTTTGGACACAAAGCCAAGTGCTTGTTTATTTTAAACCAGACCTTTGGTTGATTACATCTAATTAAGAATTGAGGAAACTTCTTTTTTCCTTCATAAACCATGTGGTCTGAACCTTAATTTTGTTAATTAATTTAATTTGAATTCTTATGGCAAATAATATATAGTTGAATTCAATTGGAAAAATTAGGAAATGAAGCAAAAAAACTATGTTTCTTTATAGTTAAATTAATCTTAATCTAGAAAATAATTAATTAACTAATCAGTATGGGGATTTTAAGTCTTGAATTATTTTTTTGTGCTGAATTTTATCAATTTGGAAACAATAATATGGGGATTTTAAGTCTTTACCTATCTTCATATTAATTCACTAAGACTTAACAAAAATAACAATTATATAACCAAATTTATCCCAAAAGGAAAAAATAAAAAAAATGCAGAAAGTCCATTCTAATCTCAAACTCAACATTTGAACAATTTTTTTTTAATTGTTCAAGTAATGTAATATTTAGTGCAAAAATGGGCATTACATATATACCAAAAATAAAAAAGATAAAAAGGGGGATTAATTAGGACCCCAACAGCTCAAATACATGACTGTTCTTAGTGATTCCTCTGACTTCTTCAACTTCTCATCATCCCTCAGCTTCTTACACAAAGCAGAAGAAGATGGAGCAGGAAGTTTTTTCTTGGCTTGAGAACATGATCTGATGTTGTTCTTGGCATGCTGTTGGATTGACCTTAGAGCATGGTTCCATCTACAAAAACCTTGATCTTTCAATGCCTCAACAGCTCCAATGCTAGCTGCTGCTACCCAAGCTCCTGTTGAAGAACTCATGGTTTTTCTTTTCTATACCCTTTTGAGAGTAATTTGAAATGAAAGTGGAAATGGGATTTTTTGTTTTGTGGTTGTTAGTTGATTTGTTGAAGGAAATGGGGGGTCAGATGAGAGTTTCTTATATAGAGGAAAGTGTTGGAGAGAAAACCAGGGATGGTGTTTGCCTAATCAAAAGGCCAAAAAGCCAGCCAATGGTTTAAGGTGGTAGGCTAGTGGTATTATTATAAAATAACTGGCTTATCTGTATCCTACAATGGAGACAATAATGAGATAATGGTGGGGGTACGAATTACTATGGACAAATCCCCAAGATAAGATTGTAGGCTTGCTTATCTAGTTTCTCTGTATATGGGAGCTGAACCCTTCCCATCCAAGTCATAACATTTGTTCTATTCTACCAGGGTGAGAGTAAAAATCATCCCATCAACTGGAAAATAAAAGCAGGGGTAGTAAATCAGATGGGAGGAACTTAACTGAGGTGAGTTAGGTCAAATTCAGTAGGAAATTTGAAAGAGTCAGCTGCCCCGAACTTTCTTTTTTCTTCCCAATCATCAGGAGATTCTCCTTCATCAGTACTATCTTCATTATCCTCGTCGCAGCAACTGGTAGGTGAAGAGGGATCGTGCACACTTTTGGATCTGCAAAATGGGGTGGCAAGCATGCTTACTTGACCAAAGTGAGATATTTCAACAACAACTGTGTCATCATCTACTGGGAGGGGTTGTTTCCATGGTTCTCCATCCATCCTCATAAACGTGTGATCGGCTGCTCCCTTGTTGAACTCAAAGCGGACGGCGTTGGCCTAAAATGTAGACAGATACATCAGATGGGGAAAACAAAGATCAGAATGATGGAAGGCAGCTACAATTGCTTGACATGCTACCTGTGCTAAACGAGTTCCATGTCCGTTTGGGGCAAGCAAAACAAGCCCATGCAACACATTTCTAAAACCTACAATCTCAATCAGGCCATCATCCACAAAAGAAGGAGTAAAGCCTCTCTGTGAACCAAGAATTTAGCAAAATTGGCAATCAGAACCTTTTGGTGAGAAATCAGTCCAAATCTAACTACAATTTCAGCTATGATTTTAGTTCGGATTATAACAGAAGATAGAGGAAGAGAAGAATAAGAACGAACATCACGGTATTTCTTCCTGTATGGTTTTCCCCATGGATTGAAACCTCCAGAGAAACTAGGCAAATTAAGGCAGACGATGGACTTAATGCTGTTTAAGAAAGAAATTACAAGTATAAGCAGAAGTGGGACTAAAAATGAGAAATCAAAATGTTGATTATATTCATAACAGTGTATCCAGGTTATACATATGAAAAGAAACACATAGTTTTGACCTGCGAGGTATGTTGAGGTCCTCCCATTGGCCTTGCTTCTTCATAATCATAACCTTTGTTAGCTGAGCTACGTTCCTGTAATGAAATTAGGCCATTCTCATAAACTCTGGCAACCAAACAGAGGGCAACCATGACTCGAAGAATGAATGACATCCTAGGGCGCAAGAAGCTTACCCAAGAAACAAAAGAATACAAAATAATCCAATGGGAGACAATAGAGATCGAAGTTGAATGCTCGGTAGTGACAAACTTAACCAGGCAATAAATGCACTAACAGAAAGCATACATGGTGTCATTCAGCAGAAAGACATGACTGATGAGCATATGTAAATAAAGCTCTAAAAAACTGAAGACATGACTGATGAGCTAGAAAATCACAAATATCTAACATATATGAAAACTTCATGGAGTAGAGTGCAATAATCTTAAATACAAGACCAATGATACAACCTTGCAGTATCATAAAACTAGCAGGACCTTGTTAACTAAAGTAGTTAGCCAAGTGACATGACCAATAAAAACAAAAAGGCACACAAATCACTTGCTTGGTACCGAACTCACAAATTGATTATCAGTTATCTTCAGTTCTTCACAACTGTAACTCATATGAATACTATACAATATGGTTAATTTTGCCAAACAAGCATTATCAACAAAATTAAAATAAATAGCCAGCTGAGAAGCATTAAATATCAAGCCATCATGCATGTTCTTCTAAACAGGATGGGAACTTATATTGCCAAACATCTGTAAGAAGACTCACAGTGAAGAAGGATGAAAAGGAGAAGAAAGCCATGATTGAGTACATCCAAGCTTTATGTAAGTACTCTGCTTCACCACAAAGAAATGAGTACCCATATAAGTTACAGAATAATCTTGAGGATGACGATACAAGGGAAAGGAAACTTATAGACGTCTTAAAAGAAAAGATCCTGTCATACACTATATTATTAGTAAGTAAGCTACAACTACAGCAAAACATAAAAGTAGTATATTTATATAAACATGTATGAAGATATCTCCAGTCTAAATACACAAACATGTGTGAGAGAGGGAGGGGAACTTGTATAATCAGTATTTCATTTGTTTTTTCAGACTACATTTGGTTCCAGATAATTAAAGATTATTCCACATATCAACAACATTTATCACTGCAGAAGCATATGCTTACCTGATTAATTAACTGATTTCTGAATTTTTCTGGGTGCAATTTCCTCTCTGAGTGAAATGCATATGATATTTGAGCATCCATTCCTGACCAGAACAAAATCTTGTTGGTGAATGAACACTGCAATTAGACTTATTTAATAGTATTAACAACAAGGTAGGTACCAAACAAAATTTCATATGTAAATAATTTGGCTGACTTCACCCTTATACGGATTTTTGGAGTATAAAGCTTTGGTAAATTAAACTATACTACGATACTTAAAAGACTTATTGAAACTTGAATGCCCTTAAAGCCTAATCATAACAATCAGAATAAAAGTTTTTGCACCAAGATCTAAATCTAGAAAAGGAGGTAACTAACTACTAACAATCATATGCAAAAGCAATACAGCTGGGCTAATGATGCTCTTCATTGTGAGGCTTACTTCCATGGCAAAATCAGCATAAAAGTTTTAAATGAGAAGATGGACAAACTATATGTGGCTCCATGCGGTAATCCTAATTGTGCAATAATTCTATCTCCCATTGAATCACTCTACCTCCAAAAATGGCTCAAATGACCAATTGCATGATATATATAGTGGGGGGAAACCATCTCAATATAATTGACTGTTCAAGCATCCCATGCCTATCATGTCAGGGCCAAAATGCTATGTTGGATGAATCTATATATCAGGTTAAACTTGAAGAAATGCTATGTTGGACCGTAAGGGCTCAAGTTGAAGACACTAACAGAAGGGAAATCACTGGCTACTACTTTCACCAATCCAAGTCCTAAGAAGCACCAGAGTTTACACAACATGAGATGCTTGAATGAGTAATACAAAGGTACACATCTGTATATCTACATGTCTTTAGAAAATAAGAAATTTTTCCCTTTTTAAAATTATGAAAATTTTCATACTAGATTATATTTCTTACCCATGCTGAAGTAGTTCCAAAATCCTCCCCGGTACGTGTGATAACCCTCCTGAGAAGTGAGAACATCCAAAAACATCACATTCATATGAAGCATGTAAATATTAAAGGGGAAATCAAGCATGTAAGAATGATGATTTGAACCCCCACAAAAGAATAGAAAACAGAAATGTACCATGTTAAGTTTGTCTGTTTGAGAGATGCGATGAAATGCATGCAAAGAATGGGGTAGTTCAAGAGGTGCAATGGGATCACAGGAACCTTCCGTAGGGGCCCTCATTCGCATGATAATATGCCAGCTGAAATTTCATTGAATGAACTGTAGCATTAATAATAAAATGGACAACATATTGAAGCTTTTAGCATGTAAGCAACTGAATTCGTTTTTCCATTATGACACGGCAAATTATAACCATAAGAAAGTGAAAGTAAAGAAAGAACTGCTAGTGTAAGTATAAAATCACTATTTAATCTAGGTTCAACAAGTAATAAATTCTTTTTCACGTTCATTTAAAATTTTGAAAAGTTCTGGCAGAGATTAACTTTCTTCTTGTTATGCTCATAGTAATGCACAGTTCATATTTGCACAGCCACATCATATCACATTTAAGGCTTCAGAGGACTATGAGAGATGTCAAAAGGGTATGAGCACATGACAAAAGCCATTAGGAGGATGGTTTAGTGGCAGAAATTTTGAGTGGTCAAGTGAACCAAGATATTGCACAAAGCAAGCATAAAGCTCATAACAAGTGTGGCGACACAAATATAATCTACATGCTGAACTCCTTAATTAAAGTTTCTAGAAACTAGATGCATGTCAAAGTCATCAAAAACTATCTCTTTCATTCAGTAGGGCTTGTTCAGACAACTTCCGTATTTCACTCCTTCCTGAACCTTCAAATGCAACTCAACATTGTTCACAAATACAGGGTTCTTGTTTTGGCGCAACATGATATTGGAAGATAAAGCACTATGAATTACTTAGAAGGAAATAAAAGATATGTAAAAGCATGTGTGTCTGTGTTTATAGTAGCTTCATGAAAACCAGGAAGACAACAGCTAAGGAGTTTATTACCTGTCAATTTTCATTTCCTTTGCATTCTTTACTTGTTCCAAGAAGGACAATACAGATTGGCAGTCTGTACCAGGATTTTTCTTTCCCTGCAAATTAACCAAACACAAAGTGTGACTGAGATGAGCCAATTCTTCCAGTACATGCTGTATGTCAAGTGTAAAACAACCATTTCCAAAACAGTGTACACTAGTAAATGATCTCTAGAACAGAGCAACTACTTATTCTCATCCATTCATCTAAGGAGATTAAAAAGACAGTTTGGCATCACTGATGATAATAAAATGAAATTTAGCAACATAGATCTACCAGCTACCGGCTTAAAAGGATTATGCTTGTAAATTTTTGTTCCTTTCTTTGCCAATACCAATTGCTGAGAGATTTAACAATAAAATGGGGACAAACACAGAAAAGGGAAATAATACAAAGACATTATTCCAACAATTAGACACAGTTTGTGATTTACATGAAGATGACACCATTATAAGAGAACAACAAATACAAAAAAAAAAAAAAAACCAAGCTGCAAACCATTATGAACTGACAATTAATAAAATAAACTACATTGGTTTTCAAAAATAAAATAAACTACATGAGACAAGTGAGCATCATCCTACCCAGCCAAAAGAAAACGGTAGGTTGTTTCCAGTTCCCAGAGGCACTGTAGCAACTGGAGGTGGCTGAGGCAGTTTAAGATCGGATATTACACCAAGAAGCCAGCCAGCTGTGCCATCGCCACCTGCAACCTAACAAACAGTCTAAGCATATATTAGAAATAAAATTTAGATATCAACTGTGTGCATAGATAACATGGATGTATGTATATGCGATGAGCGTGTATACATGTTAGTAAAGAAGACAAACAGCCTAATAATAATTATAACCAGTTACTTAACATGTCAACTCACAATTATTCTCAAGCTATTCTGAATAGCTGGAGCCAAAACATCCCCATGCTGTTCAAGTGTCCCCAGAGTGGCAAAAATTTGGTGTAACACCTTATCAGGTTTTGTCTCTCTCAAATCAAAAACCTGAAAATCAATCAGCCAAACGCCAATTGATTGTGAAGATGAATAATCATAGTGAAAATTGCATTATCCTCTAAGAGCAGGCAGAGGTAAATAAACAAAAAAAAAAAACAATACCTGCTTTTTGTTAAGAACAGAACGGTACGTAAGGAGAAGATCCCCACCAAGCTGTCCACCACTTTTGGAGTTGATAAACACTAACACTGGACAAGAAGGTATCCGTAGTGGTTTCTTTGGTTCTGATCCAGGAACAAGTATATAATCTGGAATATAGTATTCAGTCAAAATATTGTCTGACATAACATCACCCATCCCTGCCTCCCAGCTGTAGGTTACATATATCAGAAAAGATCAACAAATTCAGAATAGTATTATAAGTCTGCAGCAATCATGTAGGTGTATCAACATTTTGCTTGTGAAACAAAAGCTAAGAAACATAAGACTTTGAAAGAATAAACAGAAACTTGGCGAGTAATACAAAAAATACTTATGCCACTCAATGAGCACTACAAGCCCTCCATGAAATCCTTTCTCTCCTTTCGTTTAGATATAATATATAGTTGACAATTGGAAAGATTGCATAAAACTTGAAAACAGTGATAGCTAAGCATGTAATTCTTATTGCATGTCACCAAAGAAGCGTCATTTCACACCAGAAACAACCCAATTCAAGGAATTTAATCAAACAGGGAGAAGATTTTACAATTGACAGATCCAACCTATGGAACATATTCTAAATTTTAGTTATTTCTTTAAATGAAATTAAATACATTAATAATCAGCAACAAAAAATACTTAGAACCTTCTAGAAAGAAAACTACGAATATCTCTGGCCATGAGCTGTAATCCCAAGGACAATTCAAGCAAGCCCTTCCCAGGGAAGAACGACAACTTTTTAATCAAAGCCATTCTCTTCTATCATAAAACCGAC